GCCAGCAGCCTTCACTCCTCCCAGCCTGCTGAAGGATGGCATGGCAGCACAGTGTGTAGCATCTTAAGGCCCAGCCAATCTCTTTGCTGCCCAACTGAGGTCAACTTTCTGAAGGGCAGTAGGTTGGCAGGGACAAACATGACACTCTTATAAAGTCTCCTTTCAGCCAGTCAGCCAAAGGATAAGAATGAGCTTTTAAAAAGGTTTCCCTCGGGTTGTAGGGTATTACATGTAAACACTGAAATATTCCTGGTATGAGTGCCAAATCAAATCAAAGAGTGGTTAACTAATAAAACAAGGTGAGAAAATCATACATTCAAAAATGCTGCGAGGTCCATTGTGAAAAAGTCAACCCTGATAGGGATTGCATTTCAGGGCAGTGTTGAAAACATCTTATCAAAGTTAATAAAAACGGAGAGTGTGGCTGGCTGACCCATCATCCTTCTCATCAGTGTGGTCTCCTGTCGCATAGCAGTGGTATGAGGAGTGGGACCTGGCTCCAAGATTGTGTTTAGATAATGGCCATCTCCAATCATAGATAATCTTGCCCCATCTTTTCTTCTCAGACACAGCAGCAGACAAGGTCAGGGGGAAAAAGATTCCTGGCGAGGTGGAGATAGGGATGGGGCGGCTCTGAGATGATTTACTGCTGAGATTCACTCAGCTGCCTCCATCACCCTCCGTTAACTTTCTCATCCTGTCGTCTCTTGCCTTCTCGCTCTTTCTATTTTTCATCGTTCACTCTTTTGCATTGCTCCGTGGCCCTTGTGCTGACTCCTTTCTGTATCACTTGGGCTATCTTCTCTATTTGGCCTGGGATAAACATTAAACATAGCAAGAAAGGAAACTAGGGGAAGCTTCCTTTTGAGCTTTTGCGATTGTTCTGTGCAGTAACAAACATGATTCAAGACACATGTTCTCCTATGCCTGTAGAGCACCAATCAAAGGACCACTTTAGTATGTTTCTCTAAGTATCGCTTAGGTGAAATTATAAATAAAAACGATGCAGAAAAACTGGTAGAAATGGCATTTGTGGAGAAGAGGTCAATTGACTCAAGGGACAGAAATAGATTTAAGAGCTGCAGGGCTTCTCTCCTGTGCTCCATTCTGTCGTGTAAATCCAAGGAGAAAAATGAAGCAAGACGTGAGTCATTGAAATAGACAGCCGGAGAATCAGCCCTGTGATCCACAATGGCAGCCGAGTAGCAGGATTGTGAGCTGCCAACTCTCCCCTTCGTCCTCCCCACCATTTTATGAGCACCGGTTTTACTTCTTATCCTGACACTCCCATATCCCCAGAGAAACGGTGTCTCGCAGGGGCAGAGTGAACAAAAGAGGGGCTACTGGAGCGTCGAAATGGAGTAATGGGCCCTAATACCTGCACAGGCACGTAATCGAGACCCTGCACAGCTTTCCATGACAGATAATTGCTGATATCTTTGTAGTGATAAATGTGACTCTCTTCTCGAGGTGCAAATGTCCTGGTTCAGCCTCAGGTTTGACAGCCTTGTGGCTCCACTGGGACTGGTGCCTGACTGGTCACCAGATTTCCAAAGATGAATCCCGATATACTTTTTCTCCCTTAGTCAAACCTCGCTGGGCTGTCTATTTTCTTTTAACCACAAGCCTTCATAGTAAATCTCATTTCATTGTCAGCTGTGACTGTGGTTTACCTCTTCTGCCTTGTCTGCTGACTTCCTGTTGCCATTAACGCTCAATATCTCTGTTGGGGCCTGTCTGCTCGGTCTTATTTCATTTTGCGCTCTGTCCTATCCTGTCCTCCTATATAGAAAGTTCATCTGACAGACTAGCAGGAGTTGTGCCAATGAAAGAACCCTCTGTATTTCATTCACGCTGCCTGTTCATCTCCTTTCTCTTTCTCTCAAAAAAGGGGCAGTAATTGATACTGGGACCCAATCCATCCTCCCCTCTTAAGCCCAGAGATCCAATTTATCTTGGTGAGAATGCCGATTGGCTCTCTCCCAGGCCTTGTCGGTCAGACTTTGCCTGTTTTTAGATGGCCGTTAATTAAAGTGTCCCCATGACAAAAATAAGATCTACATTGGGGTGTGTGTGGCAAAGGAAATGAACCATCTCATTCACACTTGACCACATAAATCAACAAAGTGGCTGAGACTAATATGACCCAGGCAGTCTAAAGCACCATTTTAAAATGAAATCACAGGGCTTACAGAGAACGATGCAATTCGATTCTATTCAACCCATGTGAATCTTTAGCTGGTTTAATCCATATTAACCTCAGTTATGTTAGTCACAAATGGCTCCAGAATGATCAAGTCAATCGCAGTGTCAGTCAGACTAAAAATATAGGAAGGAGGCCATGAAACAGATTCAGAACAGAGCCAAAATTGACTTGCATAATTTAACAAGATTGAAGCTTTAAATAACTTAGCAGTACACCATGTTTTTTTTTAAATGTGTTTATCAATAATCTTAATCTGCAAACTATCTGTATGTGGTGATAGATTTCTATGTGATTACCTAAAGTCATCATGTAAACATGCTATTTTTCTTCAAAGACTCTACCCAGATTGTACAGCAAATAATGACCTTATTAACCAAAATAAGGTCTGTAACTATAGTAAATATAATTCATTGATTAATTTAAAATGATACTATTGCTATTTGTTTTCATTACATTATTCTATTCTAGAAATACAAATCTTGAAACTGTGTTTGACATATGTATTTATTCTCATCAGACACCTCAGTTTACATTCCAGTGCAGCCAGCTGCCAACAGTGCTTACCCAATCGGTGAATAAAGCCCATAAGTGTATCTTTTTTTTTTTTTCCTGGTACAAGTCTAGCTGTTCTGTGTAGGCATCATGTTTGTTGGAGAACATTATTGAATGAACAGCACTATAAAAAAAAGGGAAGACATAAGATAGGCCAGGGATAAAGTTGTGGAGAAGTTTAAAGCAGGGTTAGTTTGTAAACAATATTAAACAATTAAAAACATTTCAGTGATCATCCACAACATCCACATAGCATTGTGGATGTTGTGTCCATCTTTGGAAATAGAACATATAACTTAATATGTTTGCAAAACAGCAAATCTACAACAGCATGACTGTCAACCTAATCAGACAGGTCTACCAAGGACAGTATTAATCAGAAAACAGAGTGTGTTTATCACCCAGTGGGTGATTTTTAGAGAATCTGCAGAGATCAATGGCTCAAGTCAGTCTCATGAAAACTATTAGTCACACACTTCACAAAACTGGTGAGACAACATTAATAAAAAAAAGTGTTGAAAGAGCCACATGTTTCCAGTTTGTAACAAGCCATGTAGGGGACACAGCAAACATGAAGATGGTGCTCACTTGAGATGTACTCAAATCTGAACTTTTTTACGTCACATCATTCTAAACATACAATTCCCGTGGTAAAACATAACACTCGCAGCATCATGCCGTTGTGATGCTTTTCTTCAGCAAGGAAAAGAAACCCTGTCGGAGTTAAGATGGAAGATGCCAATCCTATTTACAACCAGAACTACAAAGGAATGGTTTAGATCAGATCACATTCAGTTGTTACATCAATTTAGTCAAAGTATCCACTTGAAAATCTGAAACAGTCCTTGATAGTTGATGACAAATGGAAAAAAATGTGCTCCGGTCAGACAAGTCCAAAGTGTAACATTTTGGTAACGCTATGCGTCACAGTAAACTACATCATCCTAAAGCGCACACACATGCACACACATGCATCATCACAGTGAAACACAGAGGTGTTTCAAAAAGCTCATGTACAAAAAGCTCATGTACAAAAAGCTCATGTTCATGCTTGTGCTTTTTTATTCACCAAAGTATGCAACAGGACAAATCTGGAATGATAACATGTTGGAGGCTGTAAAAACATGTTATGTAGATGTTGAAATTCTTGCAAGACAAAAATCTAAATATGCAATAAGAGATAAACTTAAGCTTTTATACGAAAGTATTTTCATGTTTTAAAGTTACTTAGACATAGCTGAAACTTCTAATTGAGAATTTGTGGCAAAGTTTGAAAGACGATTTTTACACATGCAATCCCTCCAATCACAGAAAAACAAATTGAAATTCATATGTATAATTTGAAAAATTCAGAAAAAATGGAATGAATACTTTTGCAAGGTACTGTATCTTTTCTGCCAATATAACCATAACCTCTTTCAGACTAGAAAATGACAACTGGAATGTTTTTTTAGAACATACATTGTTTTACACAGAAAAATAAATTGGTATAATTTATTGTTTTGAAACCTAAACCTCTTACGTTTACAGTGGTTGTCTGCAATCATACTTTTATTTTCTAGGTAGATCACATACTGATTTTTTATGTACATAAAGAATAAGCATAGATACACTGAGTACTGATGGTCACTTAGTTGTGGAAGCACAGTATCTACAGCACACTCAAATCAATACTGTCTGAGCAGCTTCTATAGGAATGTTGTTGAAATGCGCAGATTTTCTAGAGATCAGACTGCGACAGCAAAAGAAGAACAAAAACTTTTAATATCACTTGCAAGTGGAGAACGACACATATAAAATCCTAGCAAACTCTAGGTGTAAATATTGTAGATAATTAATTTTGTTCCACAATGCATTTATACTTTTCAGTGTGTTTGAGTATCTATCCCTCTCTGGAGTAGGCTAAGACTGTAGACATAGCCTTGTGGAGGTCCTGCATTTTTTCACTCCGTTCCTTTGTTTTTTTTTTCGCTTTCACTTTGTGTCCCTTTCTGCTTTGCCTCAAAAGTTTTTTTTCTATGGCTGTAAAACTTGAGACAGCTCCTCTGCTGGTGCAGATGGGAAGTCAATAGAAGCAAGTGACCTATATTATGGGGAACTCTACTAACTCCCAGTGTGTGTCTAAGGTGAGAGCAGAATATTAAGGATTGCATGAGTGTTATACCAGAGTACGGTACTTGTGCGTTTGTGAGTGTGTTTTTTTTAGGAGTTGTTCACCAGAGACTCGACGAAGGTTAATTACCTCCCCGTCCTTCGCTGTCGGCTGGCTTCACCTGAATGGGTCGGTTCATCTGGAGAAGCAAAAAGGAAGAGAAAGGAAATTACAGTTTAACCAGACACAACAAGAGGTAACTTTACAATATACAAAGTGTGAAAAAAAAAATCAAATGGCAGTGTTTCTGGTGTCAGTGTCCCATGTCTGCTCTGCATTGTGTGATAGGCACAGGAATTAAACGGTGACAATGATGTAAAACAGATAAGTCTGTGCAAAGCTCAATGCCAGTGTCTTTCATTAATCCAGGACAAAGTCTCCAGAGAGCCTGAATTCCCCTCACAGTTCAGCAGAATTAGCACTTTTCAATGACAGAGCCACACTGGATATCAGATGGCACTTGGGAGATTAATATCATTACATCAGCCACTCCCAGCCTCACTGGGAGTGGTCTTTTCTGACTGGCCCTTGCTCTTCTGTCCACTACTGGGTCCAGACTTACAGTCACCAACTACAGTCTGCTCATCCCTGACCCTCTACAATTTCTTCTGCACTTAGTCTGGCTTGTCTCTCTACGCCCTTCTGCACCTCACACCCATTAAGGCAACGGCATGGTCAGTCTATTCTACCTGGTGTGGCCATCGTTCTTCTCCCTGGAGCTATTGAGAGCCTAGGTGCAGCACAGCAATAAAACACTTTCTGAAAGGTTAACAGTAGGATGAAGATCAAGCTTTGAGAAAATTTGATGTAGAAGTGAGACCAAAATGTTTGGAAGCTAACATAAAAAATGGAACCTGTTAAAAATAAAACCTGGATAAGTTCTTTCTTGATAGAGTTTCAAGAGAAAACAGTTTTAAAGTTTAGAGTCATGCCGCATAATTGCAGCGTACAAAGAGTGCCTCCACATATCAAGTCTGGCATTGTTTTTCTTTGTACTTCAGGCTTTAGTGAGTCTGTCTTTTTAACTAGACATTTTGACCAGGTTTTCTGTCGGTAACAGTGCCCACTCAGATCAGTCAGCTGCAGGACGACGTTGTGGATGTTGTGCCTTCAGGCAATACAGCATTTGACAACACTTGACAAAAACTGAAAACATGGCAAAATGTAGACCCAGAATGCAGAGCATGCATGGACATGGCTCCACATATGGTGACGTATTGCACTACCCTGGCATTACGCATTAACACTAGAATAAAGTTTGTCAAAAAAACAAACACATTATCAAAGGTTAGTGCAGAAAGGTTTGAACGGAAAATAAAGGTTTTATGTAGTATTAATATCTGCTGAAAAGTAGGTCATAAATGTATAAATAACTGAGTTGACAACAAAAGGATCAATTCATAACTTTTCAACAGAAAAGTTAATTAAACTTCATCATGTTGTACACCGCTTCTCACAATGTGATCAGCAGGTAAGCCATTCTGATGTGTTTTTTTGTTTTATTTTTTTTTTTTGGTGAATGACTGTCTTCATCTTTGGGCAATCAAAGAGGAGTCTTGAATGCAAAACGTGTCTTTGTTTGAAGCTACTGTACTGGAGTGTAATAGCACATAAATGTCATGTTTTTTAATTGCTTTTTTTGTGTCAATAAAAATAAAAATTACATATAAATTTTGAATTTTTCCTATTCTTTGGTCTGCAGTGAACATGTAATCTTATTAAATTTCTTAGATCAGCCTAAAACATGCCTTTAAAATGAAACATTAATTTCAAAAAGGAAAATGCAAAACCAGCTTCAGTTTTAATTGCCATGGGAAATCAGTCACATTCTTCATTGTGTTCAGTCTGACTACTATGTCTTCACTAATAAAGAAATTAGATTGAAAGGAAAACATAAAATTGTACCCCAATGACATTGTCTTTGTAATCTTACAGAACTCCTTAAATGCTTAAATTATGCCACTTACTGAACTGAAAGCTATTGGAAAAAGGGATACATAAAAAAAAAAAAAAAAAAAAAAAAAAAAACAAATGTGTGTTTACTGCTTCTTTGGAGGGACTTTTATTATCGTATTTTCCGGACTATAAGTTGCTCAGGTGTATAAGTTGCACCAGCCATAAAATGCATAATAAAGAAGAAAAATACACATATAAGTAGCACCGGAATATATGTCGCATTTTTGAGGGAAATCTATTTAATAAAATCCAACACCAAGAACAGACATGTCATCTTGAAAGGCAATAAAAATAGAATAGAGGCAACAACAGGCTGAATAATTGTATGGTATGTTAACGTTACATGACATATGAAGAACGAACTGAGAACGTGCCTGGTAAGTTAGCATAACATATCAAGAGTTATTCAGATATCTATAGCATAAAAACATGCTAACAAGTTTACTAAACCATCCGTGTCACTCCAAATCACTACACGCAATGAAATCTTCAAGCTTGGTGTCGCTTGTAAACAACTCTGTTAACTCCGAAAGTAGAATGACACAGGCCTAGAGCGCCCTCTTGCGGTTTAGTATGAAAACAACATGTGATATAATATAATGATGTGTTAATTTCCACACATAAATTGCTCTGGAATACAAGTCACACCCCCAGCCAAACTATGAAAAAAACTGTGACTTACAGTCCAGAAAATATGGTATGTCTATTTTCAATACTGCAGTGAATATGCTTACATGTAAATCTAAGATAAGGTCCGAGGAGGAATTCATAGTAGTCAGACAGAAACTACTGCCTGACAGTATGATACTCACAGAGTGAGTGTCATATAGACTATTGGGGGTTCACAAGATATGTTATGCTTAGATTTTTATATGTAGTCATAGCAGTTTGAAGTCGGGGCAGAAAAGGAATATTATGAGATTTATGATGCTCCCAAAATCCCTATCCTGTGATCATTCAGCTTTCAGGTCTTAAACGGCAGTGACTGGTCAGAGGGCTTCATTAGTTGCCCCTGAGGTGCTGCAGCAACAAGAGTCATTTACTAACCCAAAAGTACACTTGGAGTTGCTAAGCAACAAAGTGGAGGTAGCTAGCAGGCAGACATGGCAGCCAGGTCGTTGGTCTGCAGGCTGTTTGCCAACCAATTGGCAATTCTCTACCTCAGTCTACTTTTTCTTTACTCGATCCAAGGAGGTGATAAGGAGGCAAAAAAACAAAACAAACGCAAAACTACTTTTATGTCCCTTTTTCAAGATTCTGACGACGTTTTCAGAGCGAATCTACTACAACTTCAGCTTCCTGCCAAATTATGGCGTTGAGCTTTATGCCCAACTGTGCACCTGTAAATAGCACTCACATGCATATGGCTGGTGTATAGATCTTTCTCTGAGCAGCTCTTTAGCCTCCTCTGCAAACATTTTATTGAACGGACAGCTGGAATGCTTCTAACAAGTGAGGTTGCTGCACAAACATTTTTAAGTTCACTTTACTTTTATAGTCTTTCCCTCTCCTTTTTTTCCCCCCTCTGACGTACTGCAACACACACAGAGGCACAAAAGTCTTGGGGCTCAATAACAGCAGGTGGCTTAGGTGACATTTTAATCCCTTATTACTGAGTGCAGGATTAGCCAACAGATCAAGGCAGAGTTAATTATATGAATTCATCAGAGGCTGGGCGAAGAGGCTGCTTGTTTTTCCCTTGGGCCAAGACCTACCACCCACTCTTTGTGCACACACACAAATCTACGCAAACACACACAAACACACATACTGAGGAAAATGACAAGTGACATTCTATTTATGAGACACCAGCTAGCTTCTTATTAGTACTGCATTGACAAGGAGTGGAGACAACATACATCATGGCCTCCAGAGATGCTTTGAGACAAATGACATCAACCACCTTACAACTGCTCACAGCAAATTTAACAACAGAAATGCTGTGGATGAAGACAACACTTCTTATCGTCCTACAGATGTGTGTTGTCTGAAAGTTCAACCACTCCAAACCTGTACACCATTTTTTTTTTTTTTTTGCTTTATCTTTGTCTCTCGATGTCCCTTTGGCCCCCAAAACCAATATGCTTCCCACCACAGCCCCTTAATGGGTTGATCAATGCTGACAAATAGGCAGCTCATGCTGTCTTGCAGGCCGACTCACAAGTCTGTGCGTCTGTGCTGCTGCACTTACAGAGACCATTTCTCTTTTTCCTGTTTTCTTTTTTTTTCATATTTTTCTCTCTAGCCCATATCCAACTCTATATTTCCCCTCTTCATGCTCTATTTCCTTTATGTCTATACATTTTTTTTCGTCTTTCATCTAATCTCTAGAGGCAAATCTATATCTTTCATTCGGCTATGATGAATAAAAGTCAGCAGCAGTCACGGAGGGAGAAAGAATCACTAGTGTGAAAGAGAAGAACTTGCTTACAGTTCCCAAGAAAAGACAGTTTTCAAGTTTCAGAGGTAACACTCCAGTGTTTTTCTGTGCATATTTCCCTTTTGAGCTTTTGTCTAGCCTCTCTGGTTGACACATAGTAGCAAAATGAAAGGTAGATAAGGACACTATCGGACACTATTTGACTGTGTTTGAGTTTGATCTGTGACTACCACAGCTCACAAAGCAAACAAGATGAACGACTCAAATTTGAGAAAAAATTGTCACAAAAAGCATGAGTGATTTTGATCCACTTAATGGCTCAACTGACTGAAATTCTTATGCCTTGCCGTTTCTGGATGGGTAAAATTATCGAACGTGACAGAAGAAAGAGCTGAACACAATAAACTTTGGTCCAAAAAATGACTTGACCAACAATTTGAAATTCTTTGTTTTTATTCCTCCTTGCTGTGAACTCAACTAGAAAACAGAGAAAATACCCATGATTAACTGTTCAATTCTGGGAACTGGAAAAGAATATGCAAATTGACGCCATAAAAAGAAACAAAAAAACACACAAACATGGGATGTTCTCGAGTAAAATTTTGCAGAGAAAGAACATGATTAAACAGTCAACAAAGAACATTGCGTGTGACTAGATTTCTACAACAAACAGTCTTTTTAGCAGTGTCCTGTGAAATCCAGCATACAATTCAACTTTTTTTCTTCTCAATTAGTTAGCTTTCACCTAGATGAAGCTATGTCCTTCTCAATTCAATGATTTTTGAAAAAACAGAGGTAGCATT